CTGTGCATGGGGTTGCTATGAGTCAGTTCTGACTTGATGACACCTGGCAACAACAACAACAACATACCCTCACAAAAATTTCAGGAGTTTCTACCTAAAATTGGAATAGGATACATGAATGTAGATAAACACGGATGTGTCCAGAAATTAAATCTCACCTGTGAATTTATCACAGTCCCAGGCTACTAACCAAAGATCAGTTAGTGGATTAATTAAATACTTTATAACACTTGAACAGGAAGAAATGGTCTGTTAATTAAGTTTAGGGAAATAAAATGTCCAGGCAGAAGATAATAACCACTCTGTCACAGCTCTATTGAAGAAATGCTTGTAGTCCTAAAAGTCACTCGTGCCTACTACCATTAAGTCCTTCATTAATTCTGTGCATCATTCATCTCTCAGGTATGTTCTGGCCTAATCATAATAGCAACTAGGTTTTCAGGGTCTAAGACATGTCAGGGTTTCAGTTACACATTGGGCTGTTAACCACAAGGTTGGCAGTTTGAACCCACCATCCACCCCAAAGGAGAAAGATGAGGCAGACTGCCTCATCTTGGAAACCCCATGGGGCAGTTCTACTCTGTTCTATAGAGTCGGGGTGAATCAAAATCAGCTGGAAGGCACGGGGGTTGGTTTGAATTTGAGTGAAATTGAACAGGCACTACCTCTGAGGTCCAGGCCCCCACCTACTGCACCAGCTGGCACTGCCCATGAAGGACTCTCTGATATTTCTCCTTCTTATGTTGGCCCTCGGGTTACCAGGCTGACAATCTGAGGTGAAAGTCCCCCTTAAGCCTCATACACTCTAGCATCCTTCCTGCTTTTTTCTCTGCCCCTTGGTGGAGGGGAGAGCCCAGAAGAAGCTTCTGGAAACATAGGGATATGGTTTGGGTTGCCTCTCAGAGTCAGTGGTCCTGAAGGAAGAAGTCCAAGCTGCTCTGAAGGCATTGGCAAAGAACAAGGCACCAGGAATTGATGGAATACAAATTGAAATCTTTCAACAAACTGATGCAGCACTGGAGGCACTCACTCATCTCTGCCAAGAAATTTGGAAGATGGCTACCTAGTCAGCTGATTGAAGAAGATCCATATTTGTGCCATCCCAAAGAGAAATAACCCAATGAAATACACAAGTCATTGAACATTATCATTAATATCTCATACTAGTAACATTTTGCTGAAGATTATTCAAAAATGCCTGAAACAGTACATTGACAGGGAATTACGAGAGGGTCAAGCTAGATTCAGACGAGGGTATGGAATGAGGGATATCATTACTGACATCAGATGGGTCTTGATTAAAAGCAGAGACTACCAGACCATAGAAGAATTGATGCATTTGAGTTCTGGTGTTGGAGGAGAATATTAGAAGTACCATGGACTTCCAAAAGAAAGAACAAATCTGTGTTGGAAGAAATACAACCTGAGTGCTCCTTGGTAGCCAGCATGGCCAAACTTCGCCTCTCATACTTTGGACATACTGTCATGAGGGACCAGTCACTGGAGAAGGATATCATGCTTGGTAAAGTGGAGGGTCCGAGAA